CCATCGATTTTCTTCTCAAGATCATCTTTTTCCAGACTCGCGCACGCCACCGAAGCTGCTGTTTGCGTCATTAGCTGTCGAGTCACTTTCGCCAATTCATTTATACTCATCGGATGTGCGGCGTTGACCAACTACAGCTGCTGCGAAATGGCGTCCGGAAAACTCTCGAAGAACTGCGATGCCAACAGCTGAGCTTCAGATGCCTCATCCAAACTCGGCAGCACGCGATGTAACAGCTTGGTCAACTCGACTGTCAGCACCGGTGAGTCTCCATCCGCCGATAACTTCATCGTCCTGAATTTCTGAAGCGCCTCCTGCTGATCCACTGGGCTGTCGAACTACACGACAAGCCGATCCGTGACCGCCTTCCATGTCCTCACCTTGCCATCCAGGCTGTCATACACCGCCTTCGCTCGGCCGCGGAGCAGCAACCCCAAAGCCACCGATTTCTCCTGCTTCCATCCGGTTGCTCCGCCACGGCCTCGAACTCCTTCGGCCACGGTATCTTCATCCTGGCAGCGACACCAAATGTAGTGAAGGAGAACACAGGTGAGGACAATCAAATTGTATTTAGCGAAAATTACAGAGTTACTCAGTAAAATAGGAAAACCATATCGTAAACGGTTAATTTTCAAATGTTCAATCAATCATCAATCCGTTGTCTGACATTTCACTTATTCATGCATTTCATACAAATTCCATTGTGTTCCCACTCTTCCTTTCTCGATCCTCCCCCATCTTCTGCCGTTTACACTCACGTCATTTACTACTTATACGTAGCGCACACCACAAATGTACCTCAGTCACACCGCACACCCGAAAATAGAAGATCATAGGTGAGGTACGACACTGAACGCCTGCTACAGGAGAAGAGGAGAGCCTGACATAAGTGGAAGGTCTCCTTGAAGGATTCCTTGCATAGTTCTTAATTGGGATTGGGAAACAGGTGTAATGCCGAAGTTCTAAGCGATAGGAGACTCTTTCAGATGAAGCTAGCTCTCCAAATAGAGGCAAACCCTAAGCATCTGTTTAGGTTCATAACCTCAAAGGTCCGAATGGAGAAGACTTTACTAATCTAGAGATGGCTGAGATCTTCTTCACAAACTTCAACGATCATTTAAACCAGGTATCCACATGTTCTAGGTACTACTCAAACCCATTGCCAGCTGAAGACTTAGGGAATATCCGTATTACTCCTGACTCGGTTATCGGCAAACCGAAATCCTTACTCCCAGAAAAGTCACCAGGTTGTGACAATATTCGCCCCACAGTCTCAAAACAATGTGCAGAGGTCCTCAGTTCACCGACATGTCGCCTGTCCAGGCATTCACTGGAGTCATACCAACTCCCAGCCGAATGGAAACAAAATACTCTCTCTCTCTAATCTTGGAAGGTGGAAATAGGAAGGAACCAGCCTGTTACAGACCAGTCGCATTATTACGAATACTATGGAAGGTAATGGGAGGGCTGGTGAACGAACAAATAAGGGAGTACATAGCTAAGAACAAAAATCCTACATGAAGCTCCACACGTGTTTCGGAAAGGCAGGTCATGCGCATCTAAACTTCTCATAGCATGGGACAGTTGGAAATCCTGCTGGTACGGAAAAATACCGCTGTAAATAGTAGACTTTGCAAAAGCCTTCGATACAGCACCTCAGGCATGCCTAAACGCGAAGGTTGCGGAAACGGGCTTCACAGACCCACTAGTATATTGTCTCAGAAACTACCATGAGAATAGGAAGTTTCACACCAGGGTAGACAGGGTGAACGCCAGTTGGCGAGTCACAACATCAGGAGTTTCACAGGGACATTAAGTTCAATTCTCTCCCTGATTTTCATTAACTACCTGTTAGACACAGTTCACTGGCATTGATCTACGCAGACGATGCAAAGATCTGGAGGTCCATTAGAAGCGAAAAGGATTTCACTAAGCTTCTAAATACGATAAAGTCTATTGTGGAACAGATTACCAATTGCTATCCGTATCTGTGGCACAATCACTAAGTTCAAGAAACTAGTCATGCTGTTGCTAGACTCTAAAGAGATTTATCGACTATTCCCGGAACTCACACCAAGCCCCCAGGCACTCTTTTATGGTCCACCTAATAATTAGATAAACCGTAGAAATGAATTACAGACTATGAATATATTGTGCTCGCATCACTATCCATACACGTGTCACGAAATGATAGACAAATCCTCCTGCTCAAACTAACAGCAATAGTTTATGCCTTTGAGGTGCTACCCGTGACCTTTCTCTAAATTTAAATTCAATTCGTTATTTTCTTATCTGCACAGCAGTTTTAGTTTTTATTTTTAGTAGATAAATAAAGCCTGTAGATGGTGATCAAATACTGTCATTTACAATGAATTCATACTCCCTGTTTCATTGTGGGTTCCTTCTTGTTTAAGTATTGACAGTTGAATAAATTTTTATTCCCTAAACTCATTAGCATCCAAACACCTTGCCTGCTTGCCAACTTATCACTTTACTCATCAATTTTTTAACATTATTTCAACTCTTTTTTTCTTTCTGTAGATCCCTATCCTTCCTATCTCCAAACAACCTATTAACTGACACATATCTTACTATTTATAACATTAGTTTACTTAAAATCAGTGTGATATGCTACGTGGTTTGTTTGTAATGTCGAGCTGGTAGATAAAGTGTATTCCAACAAGGTGTACAAAAGATAGAGCGTATTCTATAAAACATGGTTTTAAATCTACCAGTAAATGTAAGAGAGCCTAGCATCAAAAAATGAGGCAGGGTGGTGTGTCTGGCCGGCATTCGTGAAGGTGGGGCGGTAACAAATCAATGGTATTGATGTACCTTTTTCCTCGTAAACCTCGTCTAGGACTCACATTCGTAACCTTACACTGGCTTTAACTTCATACCATGAAATTCTATAACAAGCAGATCTAGACAATTATTCTGAAATAGACCTCACATATCACTTCTTGAACTACAGAGTCAATAAGAAAAAGGTGTACTGTTTGTGATCTAATTAAAAAAATATCTGCTGGGTTATTTTTCGGTCTTAAACATGAATATTTTCTGTTCTAATCCCAGTTCCGTTCTCTTTATTGCTCTTTTTCAGAACCTTATTCCAATCCTTATATATTAGTCTGGATATTTGACGAAGACCTGGTTAATTTACCCAGGAGCCTGTAAATTCACTATTTGAAGAATATCAAGCAGATCTTAGCACACTTACCTCAATTCTTGTTATATGCAGACCTGGCTCTATCTCGAATGGTTTTGCAGTAACTAACAGTCCGTTGTAACGCAACCGTTGTAGCTCGCGCCAAGTATTCTCACTGTACATTGCAAAGTCTGGAAAATTATCTATAATTTTGTATGAAAAATTTTAGCCATCTATATGACGGCAATGTATCTTGTGAAATATTTCAGTAACCGAAAAACCTTTAACAAAAAATATGTTAGCCATCCAAAAATTTTGATCTTGCCTGTAAATTGACATAACTCTTGATTCATGCTGTTATTTGAGAATAAATTATTATTATTATTATTATTATTAAAGGACCTTTCATCTATTGAGGAATGGACAGAGAAAAACGATTTAAAACTAAATGTTTTGTACATTCTGCCCCATATGATGCAAACCCTTTTACACCCTCAATGGAGGTTCGCTCCCTAATGTCTCCTAAGAGCGCGATCTCCGTTATGTAACCACTGAAAGGTTCCACACCAGCTCGTACTATATAAGGGACGCAGCCAAGGCAAATGCAGCTCTTCACTTTATGCGAAGACAACTTGGTGCTATCACCACACAATTATTCTTAACGTTGTGTGAGACATTTGCAAACCCAAACCTTGAGGTTCACAATTTCGTCACACCTCGTCTTTTTAAAAGAGACATGAATCTTTAGGATCGAGTACAGAGACGAGCGACGAAATGTGCGATAGGGTTGAAAAATGAAACTTACGAAGATGACTCCAGCTCTAAGGATTATTCCTCCTAACCTGATTATGACGTACGAAATATTTAGCACGCAAGCCATTCGAACATGATCACCTAACCGATGCATCACTACACCCCTTGAGATAATCCTCGAAAATTGAGCATCAAAGAACGAATACTCAGGTTCGTGCACATTTTTTCTCATTAAGAGTCGTTGCAACCTGCAATGCTCTCCCAGCCGAGGTAACCACGGCCCCTTTAGCGGATAGTTTTGAGAAGAGACTTGACAAACACATACTGACATACGGGTTATCATCTCCCTCGTGGATCAGATGTGTTTGATGCATGTCTTTGGACGTGCTGCCATTGCCTCAGCTCACTACCTGAATCTATCTCGCTTATTATCTCTTTTTCCTTTTTCCTATTGCACTTATTATTCTCCACATTGCAACTAACTGATCTCCCGCCTAGTTATGTGCTAGCTGCTGGTATCAAGAAACCGTACTTTCCTAAGACTAACATACTCATTCAAACTCACAAGCAACTACCAACTGACTTGAATCAGGCAGTCGAGTGACTAGACCACAATCTATCGGACGCTACCGAACGCCTGGGACCGTACCGAAAGAACAAGAATCGAGCTCAAATGAGTCAACTGGTTTATATTAGCTAGCGAAAAATATATTGGATATATTGGATCAGTGGAGCATAAGTCGTAACCATGGAGTGTTTACCTTTCAACCCATGTCGATGAAAATGGTACGAAATTTAGTCAGTGAGATGAAATGTCGTATTCAGTGTGCAAAATTGCTCGACTGCGTACACTGATGATCCACCCTGGTGATTATGGTGCCAGACACACAATTAGACTATCAAGGTATTAAGCTAATTACTAAATAATTAACTTACAGAAAAATATATAAACACCCAACTAATATGATAACCGAACTAAAAACAAATATATAAATTAGTTGTTACAGGAGCCAGAAAAAAGTAAATCTGTCTTCTTCTACATGAACTACATGACCTATATTATTGTTTAGATCTTTCAACAAACTACTTCAGCAGCTGCGCCAAATACACAATATGCGTTACTTCGTGTTTGCTTAAATCCGTGAGCACTAGTGACAATGTCAGACAAGATCGACAATTTGCGCTGTTTTTCTCAACCACTTATTAATTTAAACGAAACAAACAATATTACACCTGTATCATTGCCAACACTTAGTTTGCTAAATGACAATTCCAGAAAAATTGTTAACTTAGACAGAGTTCATCTTTCTCTTAGCGTACTAAGATTGGATCCGGCAGATCGTGCGGTAATAAAAATCGCAGGTAAATGCATTGATTTTGCTGAATTTTTCGAGTTTTTTAGTGATTAGCATCCTATAATCTTATCGTGGTAGGAATACTAATTCAATATTTATCATTCAGAAAATTTATTTGAAATATGTTAAAAAAAATAAGATCTAAAATCTTAAAAGATGTCTAAACTTTAAGTGCTTGGAATCCTTACTGGCCATAAACGCCTCTAATCATATGCATTCGCAAAGGCATTGACTAAGTTTCAATGTTTTTACCGGCTTTAACCTTCGGCATAATCTGGTAGCCCTGCTTATTTTCATAGTTTTTAACAGAACAACGCGTAGTTCTGCCACATGCCTCTCGTTTGCCGAAGGGATCTTTAGTTTTAACGCACCTTATTCCTGGCTCCACTAAAAGGTTTATACTATTTAACATTCAATCTCAACCATCTGACATAACTGCTTGTTCATTAGATATATTAGTAAAATAAACTAAATAAAATCAATATTTCCTAAAGTATCTTACAGTGCAAGTAAGTTCTTTTATTTCGAAATCGGCTGGTGACAAAATTACCCTGAGGAGGATTCTGCAACCCACGAAAAGACAAGATTTTATGATCAATTTGTTAGGAACCATTAAAAATTGAGCTGTTTAGACCTGAATTGTGTATATAGTTGTTGTTCGTCTCCTGTTACCTTTTCAGTTTTTCATATCTGAATCTGTTGAAATGTAACTGCCTTAGAAATTTGTCAATACACTTATATTTGTTTCAAGAGTTCGTTTCCTATCACACGTAGCCCAGCAAAACTAAACAATCTTTGTATCTGCTTTCTGTTGAAAATGGCATCAAATGTGGCCATATTTCTTAACTCATATTTACACTCAGGCACTGCTTCCCAAAGTTTTACTCTGCTGATTCTAGAACTACAAAAATATATGTTTCTTGACAGAAGTCATGTACGTTGATCTGCAGAAAACTGTTAACTTTGGGGACATGGATGTTATTGAAACAACCCTAGTTAACTAAAATCTTTTGGTATGATGTAACACTTAATGTTCGTGTAGGGCATAGTATGTGAAGAATGTTCACCCTAAATTTTATTCACTTGTATCATGGATGTGCCTTTACCCATGAAAATTTTTGTTCAGCCTTTCCTTTCTAAATTTATCTACAATGACTGATACTTATCCCATTTTGAACAATCTAATCACCTGTCGATGGATATTTCGATCTTAGAAGGTAGTCATTTGGTATGTACATAAACCGAAACATTCCCCTTCGGCTATCATGTGGCGATTGAGTACTGAGTCCCTAACTGTTCAAGATAATTTTTGAAATTGACAGTTAGTTAAGTGACTAGAAAACTCAACGTTATATACAATGTAAGACCTGATATAAATATGTTTTTGCAAGTTGCAATAATTGTACCAGCTGATCTCAGGATGGATGACCAATTATCTGTTCTATTGAACATGACTATTTGGTTACCTATTGACTTTCTGTGCGTGCAGTTATTGTTCATTGGTTTAGAAATGTAAATTTCAGTTTCTAATCCAACTCCTTTTATTATGGTGTGATTTGCCAGTAAAACGTAATTTTAGCAGTGTATTAGTAGCAATTTTATTTGAATAAAGTATTATGTAAGAGACGTGCATCGAAATTATTGCTATTTTTTATGATGTCACTTTGTTAGTGAAAGCTCAGCTGTATGATTAAACCATTCAAATCATTACTACCAAATTACAATCTTGATAGCAGATTGATGTTACCTGACTTGTCATTAGACGCAATCTTTTCGATGCCCATGAACTAGGGCTAATAATTAGGTCATAATTAATTAGTGAGAAAACCCTACAGGTAGATTTCGTCTAATCGCCTATCAAGCTTTTTGTTTTTCATTTTGAGATTATAATTATAAACACCCCATTTTCTTATAGCTAATGTTCTTGTGGTTGTTTTCAGAACATTCGGTAGTCTGCTTCAATATTCTGGTCTCGTAAATACCCATCACTTTCATTTTGTTGATCGAAAATTCCTTTCATAAGGTGTTAAATCTACCTCCTTATCGTATGGATAAATGGTTTTGTACTGACTTTTTTTTCTCTTTTGTCATTTACTTTTTATAAACGAACGATAGCATATCCTTCTTTAAATATACATGGGTTCTTAACTTCTGTTTTCGAACTTTTTCGACTAGATGAACGTGATGCAATACAAAAGAAAGCCTTCACAAATTGGGTCAATCAACATCTAGTAAAGGTAATCATTATAACTAGTTGTTCTTTGCAGTTGTCGTTAAATAGTTATAATTTCATTTTGCACTACCATTATTCTGGGTTCTTTATACTTTCATAATTTTGTATAGTTTTTATTGAGTATTTAAACGGGTTATATTTTGATGATATAAAAGGCAACATTAAATGATTTTCCCATACTTTTGCCAAATGTGTATTGTAGTTGTTTTCAGTTGTGATTTATTCTTCGCACCCTTGAATTTGGTCTGTCGTAGTAACTAAATACAAACTGATAATATGGCTACTCCACTAATTATCTGGGCATGAAAATGATTTATTAATCTTGTCAACGTTATTATTATCATTATTACTTGTATGGAAATTCATCATACATATATATTAGTTGGCACATATACATAATCCTTGATTTTAGAAGTAGTATTAATTTTAACAGCCAGTTTTCTTTGGTATTCAAGACAATTTTCGATATCCGCTTAGTTAACTGTTTTTTTAAATTAAATTTATCAAACATGTTTTCACATCACTTGACTGGTAGTACATATACACGTGGAAATGTGTACGCACGTTTAGATACATATACCTTTGTTATCGATCAAAACTCAAAACAAATCAGTTGATAATCATACTTTATACCACAGCTTTTTTTCCAATTAATAAATTAAAAACGAATATTTAGTTTGTTAATTATTCTTATCGAAATCACCTTAATAATCATCAATACAAATTTTCTAGCCCCTCTGTTAAATTTTCCTAGCACATCGATAACATATCACATAACCACCTTCGGAATTTCTTTTAATAATGTGCTTATATTTTAAATAGTTAGGCAAATTGATCATTCTAAGAAGACTATGAATCGCCTTAACAAAATTAACATGGATTAAGCTATATCAGTGAGAAAAAACATTATATCTGAGAGTGCTATGTAGCTGTTATCTCATTTGACTTTGTTTTAGGTAATCAACTGGTTTTTGTTTCTTTTAAGTTAATAAATGTACATCCGACAATTGTGTTCGTTTTGAGTTTGTATGTTAGCTAGTTGTCCTTTTGCTGATTATTATTATTATTGTTATGTCAATAAGAATCACTCTCCGATTACTGCTAATACTTTTACTACCTCTACTACTGTGGGATTTGAATTCAGAATCTCATCTCTGGACTAATGTGATATGGCAACCTGAACTGATGTACGTACGTACGAAGTCCCACGTTGCTGTTGACTAATTGATTAATACTGTGACTGTATATTAAACTGTTTAATACTCATTCATAAGCGTTCTCACTCTGCTAGTTTCTTAAATATTTGAATTCAGATTTTTTCCTGACTCAAAGATTTTGTTTATTTGTTAATAGTTCATCTCCAACTCTACTACATAACTGATAAAATCCTCGTAGAATTTACTATACTGTTTCTTGTTAGCCAGTCACCTTTGTGTACAGACAGTTTATATAATTTTGACTGTTATTCTAGTAATTTTCTTCAAGTTTAACATTTACATTTTGAAGTTTTAAAAATCGATAGTACTGATATTACATAACGGTTTTTTTTAATTACATTATCTCAGTGTCTGCAATTAGCTATCAGAGTCCTGTACGACGCTGGTACCATTCAAAACATTTCCAAATGAGGGCTAGTAACTTTCCACTCTGCGATAACAATTAAATTTATATCTGAAAGCAATTCTATGGAAATTTGCTCAATTTTGATAACCTCTTACAGCTTTTACTCCAATGATAGTCACTAGAAATTGTCGCTGTATCACATATTACTCATGTTCAGTGAACATTTAATAATATCCGACATAGCCTATCAAATTTATTTGTTTTGGCAAAAAATATCAGTACAAATTTATAAATAATTCAAATAATGTCAGTCTAATGTAAATGAAACGATTATATAAAGTAAATTAGACGAAATTCTAGTGTAATTTAATGAATAAACAGCAAATAGATTTGTTAGGTAGTGATATGGTGGGTAATAATCGTAATATGAGTTCTAATTAGTATGAAAAGGAGTGTCGCCTAGAAGTTACTACCGGAGAGAAGTGTCGAATCGGAATTCATAGCGTGATCGAAGTGTTTCAAATATCAGAAGACATGTGAAAGAAAACAGTCAATAATCAGCTTGTATTGTAAATAGAAGTCTGGAGATTTGGTGTACATATTTTTTCTGTAAACTGTCTTCTCTGAATATATTACTATTTCGTCTGGTCTTGACGTCTTCAGTCGTTATGGTGTCACTTATCAGCAAGGCATACCTAACAAATACCAAACCATCGTATGGAAGATGTGGCTTCATCCAAAGGTTTTCTATTGACTACTTTCAACCCCCTCAATGTCTCAATATAGTACACGTGATGTAAAATAACTTAGACTAGTTATTATATTGCAATTTAATGAATAGAATTTGATTTAATGGATTTGACACTTATCAAATCGATCACTTCTCAATAATCAGTTCGTTGTAAACAAAATAAATTTTATTTCATATTATGCACACAAACATGAAGTCTTGTCATTTTTGACTGTGAGTGTAACGTTCCACTTTATGAACTGTTTACCAAAAGATTCACAATATGATTAACTGTCTGGTTATTATATGTTCATAGAATAACAATATTCTCTCGATAGGAAAGTTCCAGCACCCTATGTTCTTTTTTAATTTCTTTGGTTATTTTAGCCATAATCATCGGTAGAGTTTTGATAAACTTTAAAACCAATATATGATAACAAAAACTTCAACTTTAAAGATTGTCTTACTGTACATTTTGTTTATTTACTTAATGGACTCGATGAATTTGTTTCATACATTTTAATGAAAATATTCACTGGAGTTCAAAATTAAATTATTTTGTTTTTACTATGTTCAATAATATTTAGATACAGAGATAAAGAGATAAAAAAATTTACTGAACCCTTCAAGTTACTTGATTTACTTTATGTGAAGTATAAATCTTGTATCTATAACATGACAGATGTGTGTATTACGACAGAACATCATCTAATTCAGATCAATAAAATATTGTAAAGTATTGGAAAACTGAATGTTTTACAATGAAAGTACTAACAAAAAGTATGTAAAGATATGATCTAACTAAGAACACAATTAGGTTAGATTTCAGTCCAGTTATGTAGTTGTTCATGCGATTTTCAAAAATGATCTTCTCTAGTTCCTGTTTTAAGCCATTTATTACAACATTTCAAGTCACTATGATATTTTGTTTGTAAATTAATCAGAAGGCGTTCATCAGTGACTAACAATTGGACGTAATAATATTAACTCTTGTAACTATTATGAATATCTCATTACAATGTATCCTCCTCCAACTATCTTTAGAAAGAATAATGTTATTATATCTCTTCATACATTGTTGAACAAGGTTTTGATTACAGATTTGTGTACGTGCCCGTCATTGCTAATTACAGTACCAGCAACATTCCCAAATATTCTACAACGTCGATTTTCGTCGAAGAGTATCACGGGATAACCTAATTGTAGCTCGTAACCCAGTTTATCTCATTTAAGACGCATCTCTAGCATTGGCAAGTATCCTTTCTCCAACTGAGTCAAAAAGAGTATACCGACAAAGTCGTCTTTTTTTAGCACCTACTCAAGTCTGAATGTTGACTAATAATATCAGGTGTTTCATTTGACAGCAAATTACGTGCATTCATCAGGACGCTCAGATGGTCTAGGTCATCTGAGACTGGAACTAAGGTCCTGTTATTTAGGACTATCTGCTTCTATTAAAATGGTAGACAAAATCTCTGCAAGAACTGGCTCCCTGAACACTGCACTCAACATCCAATAGATAGACCTTATCAGTCACGCACATACTCCCTCTCTCCCTCGAAATGCAAAATGTTGCTTGAGAATTGACTTGTATCGGCACCTGAACTAATGATGGGGAGTGAAGTAGTTGAGCGTGCTGACCGCTTCACTTATCTCGGCAGTCTCAACATACTGATGGCCTGGTGACTGACGAAGTTTCAGCACGGATTCAGAAGGGTATCAGCTTTTGCATACTTGCGTCACTTATGGCATAGGCCAGATATCTGTCTGCTAACTAAAGGACGAGTGTACTGTGCAGCAGTTCGCTCCGTCCTACTTTATGGCTGTGAAACATAGTCAGTAACAGTGGAGAATATTCGTAGGTTACTGGTTTTTAACCATAGGTGTCTTCAAAGCGTTGCTTGTATATCTGAGGATGATCGAGTAAGCAATGCTGTTGTTGAGAAACAGATCCTGGGTAAGGATGATAAATCAGTAGGTGAAATATTGAAACTTCATCAGTTGAGGTGGTTGGAACATATGTTACGAATGCCCATTGGGATTTGAATTGACAGTTGCGTTTCTGTGCTAATGTGGTATGTCGACTTGGACTGATGTACCTACGTACGAAGTTCTACGTTGTAACTAACTGACACTCATACTTCATTCAAATAACTTAAACAGTAAGGATTAAAATTTCATTCAATTTCTTTAATTTTTAATGTCCCATTAATATTATTCAAGAAAATATGCTTCAAGCTTCATTCGTACAAAATTTATCCTTCACTCATTGAACACTTTTTATTGAACACTCTCTTTGTTCACAAATGTAGAGAACTCCAACAGAAATTAATTAGTAGTTAGAATGAAATGTTTTAGGCGTAAGAGGATACGTTCAAATCGTTTTTCTTTTTTTTGTTTGCATGGCAGTTATGACCACACAAAGAATTAAAATGATCTATATCTGATACAAGACAAACGTAACCTGGTTGTACTGGATCTTATCACAAATTTAATAATAGCTAATTTACTGGTTATTCTGTTCATTGGTTTATTTCTGAATTAAACTAAAGACTAGATATTATTTTGTTTTGATGATTTTATGTATAACTTGTATGTTTTGCTTGCATGTTATCAGTGTAGTTTTTGTCTATGACTATTGTTTAGTCAACCAAAATATGCATAAATAATTTGTATGCGTATATGTATAAGATATTAAGGAGAATTTGCAT